GCTTGGCCATGAGCAAGCTTTAAATCTTTTGTTATAAAAGTATTAGAAAACTGGCATACCTATTTAATAAGTTGTTCTGTTTCTGCCATCTTGAAAACTTGTTAAGTGACAAAACTTAAAAAATTCCACCATCATAGGAGACACACACTAAAAGGAGGCAGTGTAGTATAGGAAAGGATCCAGTTTCTGGAGTAATACTGCTTAGGGTTTAAAAAAAATCATAGTTTTGCCACTTGCTAGCTGTCTAACCTTGAGCAAACTCTCAATTTGTTGTTCCTTAGTTTTCCCCTACATTTATCTGACAGAGTCATTGTGAAAATAAAAATAACCCATGTGAGGTGCTTAGGAAAGTACTTGGTTTATAGCAAACACTCAGATTAACATCAGATACGGGCAGCAACAGTTAAAAATGGAATGGCTGTTAAAATCACTGCACTTGCAAACAGAAAAACTGTATTTAAAATTAAACGGTTGTTTCTGTATTTGGGTTGCCATATCTTGGTAAGTGGAACTTGTCAATTGAATAGTTGGGGATACATTTGCACTGGACGCTATTCAAACTGCACCTAATCTGGCCCCATATTTAATTACATACGTCTCTACTCCACACGTGAACATGTTCTCAAAAGCTATCTAACACAAATCAAGACTTTCAAACCCTAAAGGGCTCAGTTCTGTTTCACTAAGTGTCTGGGCTTATTTTCTAAAATAGGGTTTTCAGGCCAAATGTTTCCCAGAAACCTAAGTGACAGAATGGAGATGCGGAATTAGAAGACTTGCAGTTATGTCTTGGCTTTGTTACAAATTCAACCGACTGCTTTTCAGTCAGTCAAATTTTGAGACATTTGTTCCGTGAAACATAAAATGAGAAGAGCTGCTTGTTTTCTTATTTCAAAGATGGTGTACGAGGTGTATACAACTCACATATCTGAGGGAAGATACTGATGTTCAGTGCTACTGGGCTCATATGATCAATTATAAAATACCTCGTATCTCCTTCTTCTACCTGCTTTCTCCTCTTTATTCCCATTAACATGTAATTTATTCCTAATTGAGTGCACTGTAACTTAAATGTGAATCAAATTAGAGTATGAAGAAAAGGAACCAAAACAGGACCTACCATTCAGTAAGTAATATTAGAGCGTGTGATAGCTAATTCTTGTGTCAGTTTGTCTAGGCCACGAGGTGCCTAGTTATTTGGTCAAATATTATTCTGGATGTTTCTGTGAGGATGTTTTTGGATGAGATTAGCATTTAAATTGGCAGACTGAATAAAACAGATTGCCCTCCCTAATGTGGGTAGGCCTCATCCCATCAGTGGAAGCCCTGAGTAGAACAAAAGACTATCTTCCCCAAGTGATAGATTCTCCAGCCTGATGACCTCTGAACTGGAGTTTTGGCTCTTTTAGCCTACCACCCTTTGGAACTAAACTCAGCTCTGCAGATTTTGGACTTACCAGCCTTCATAATTGTGTGAGCCAATTCCTTATAATAAATTTATATATTTATATATCTCCATATATCTTATATATATTTATATCTATCTATATCTCCTTTTGGTGCTGTTTTTCTGGAGAACCCTAATATAGAACAATATTATTATACTGAATCTGCAGATAAACTTGAGAGGATTCAGATCATGCTTGGAAAGAAAGGTAGGGTTTTTCTGACAACAAAGGCCATATAGTCTATATCAGTGGTTCTCAACCTTCCTAATGTCACGACCCACAGGTTGAGAACTGCTGGTCTATATGTATATTCTGAAACCTCTGGTATTTATGGCTGAATCAAAAATATGCATAGAGTTCTTTCTAACATACACCCTTTTCTAGTGACTTCCTAGCATTCATTTGGCTTTATTAGATGAGTCACTTACACAGCTGAGAAACTTCCTGTATATAGTGAGTCAAGAGGGATGGAGGAGACAAGGGCACTGAAGTTTTTTCCTTGGGTAATTTGGTCACTGGATTTCATGGCATTTCATGGAAAATTTTTCATCCTTTAACCACAGCCTTAGATCATGTCAAAAGCAGGCCACTGTCTACAAAAGGACAAGGATAGGCAAGAAAAGCCTCATGTTAGACAGTGTCCTGAGGACAGAAGACAGATCACCTAAAGAAAAAAGTTAAATCTGGAGATAACAGGAAAAAGTGAGGAGCTCAATTATACCACTAGTGATAGCTAGAGAAGGTGAATTAGGGAAATCACCTTGGAATAATTTGAGCTCAATAGTAGTGATAAAGCAGCAAATCCTTATTTACTGATAATTGGCCTTGCCTGACCTATAGTCCCCTCCCTTGCCTGCACCACTGGACTTATTTGGTCACTCAGCTTCTATTCAAAGACAAAGGCCAGGACATTTACTACCCAAGAGCTGTGTTCTCAGCCCTCCATTGGGTTTCTCTGAACACCCTGTAGGGAATTATGTTTTCTTTTTGGCCAAAGACCAACTCAAGTGGTTGGAGGAGCATCTTGTCTCAAATACAGAATCATCTCTAGGAAAGGGCTACGATAATATCCATGTTCCAAATAACTTTACCAAACGGGTAGCATCCAAATGATAAGACCTAATTATTTTTAGTATAATCATACTTCCATTAATGTAAATATTTTATTTTTCCTCATATTAACTGCTTCACTTTACTGATAAGAGCATAGAGAAGAATCAGTTATATTTCAATTCCTTTTAAAATTAGTTTCAGGCCCGTAATGTTCACCAATTGGAAGACGAAATTCAGAATGCTTGAAGAAGCAGGTAAATCCTGAGTCAGCAAATGGGAAAAGAAAGTATATTTAATTTTTACAAAAGTCCACATCTCCAAGCAGTATTTGGGATGTTACATCAAGTGCGTATTTGGTACTAGGCAGCTGGATCTAAGCAATTGATACTAGTAAATTAACAGATAAACAGAATATTTATCTTTATTTTAAAAGAAGGCTTTTTAAAAATAAAGTCTATGTTTCTACAATATTCTTGAACTATCAGTATAGAATAGTACTTTTACAAACTCACATTAAAGGCCAACGACTACCATAAATACCACTTGGTCCCCATTTATTTTGTGATTTTTGCTAGGATTCAAGCCAATGGAAAAGAAACTATTTCTTCACATACATGAAATTTGCTTCACTATTTTTTTCAGAATCATTTTAACCAAAAATCTGCCTAAAAATGGCAATACGTTAGAGAACTAGAAGGTCTCAAAAGACTGCAGTTATAATACCTGGCATTAAGAAAACAACCACCACTGAAGGCTTGGCCCCCTTTTCTCTGATATTTGGCCTCTGATTTCTGTCTTAGGACAGCAATTTTCAAAGTCTGGTGGTGAGTTTTAGGATTATGGAAAGCTAACAGAGCATACAGAAGGCCAGGATCATTTAAATAGGAATGGTCTCAGTTTCTATATATTTATATATTTTTTTGAGACAGGGTCTCACTCTATTGCCCAGGCTAGAGTAGGGGTATCACCACAGCTCACTGCAACCTCAAACTTCTGCCTTAAGCGATCCTTCTGCCCCAGCATCCCGAGTAGCTGGAACTACAGGCATGCCAACATGCCCAGCTAATTTTTAAATTTTTTGTTGATATGGGGTCTTGCTAAGAGGCGCAGGCTGATCTTGAACTTCTGGCATCAAGCAGTCCTCCCACCATTACCTCCCAAAGTTCTAGAATTATAGGCATAAGCCACCAGGCTTGACTGGGTCTCTGGATCTTAACCAAGTTTTCCAGCAAGTTTCCAAACCAGGCTGATCAGAATTACCTAGGAAACTTTGAGAACACCGCCCACTACATTCTGAGACTTCATTCCTAGAAATTTTGATTCAGCAGGTTTGAAGTTGGGAACCCCCCCCCCCCAAATTTTAAAACAATTTTTAAAATTTTAACAAATTTCCCAGGTAGTTTTGATCAGACAGATTTGGGAGCTACTGACTAAGGACACTTATTTATAGTCTATCAAAAACTTCAGGTCTCTAAGGATATTCATAACTCTGGGTAGTTATAAATTATGAGCCTAGAGAGAATTTAGCCAATTAAACTGCCAACAAGTGATTTGATACTAAAAATCCTGCCCAATTTAGTAGTTAAATTACCTAATGATTTTCTGTCTATTCACTCTCCTCCCCTAGAGCAAGGCCTGCATGTAATATTTGCTTCCTACAGCTAAGTCCTCATAAAGTTGCTCTGGTAAATTCTCTGTTAACAGCTCCCTTTTCCTGTTCCATTCAGATTCCCAAAGCTGCAAAGAACAGACTTACTTCAGAGTCCCAGCAGCATTATGCATTAAGACATCAACCCAGAAACCTGCAAACCCACTCCAGTGGTGGGGAGACACCAGACAACTCTAATATGAGTGTTAAGTTCTTTGTGGAAGAAAATGCTCTCATTGTACAAAATCGTTTAAAACCTTGACTATTCTTGAAGCAAAGAGAGGGTTATTTATAACTTCAGAAGTCTTAAAAATAGTGATTTCTGTGTCACCTTGAGTAGCCCCAAATCCACAGCTGTCCAGACCCCCTCCTTCTGCATCCCAGAATTAGTAGATGTTTAAATTCTAAGACAGAAAGAATCTGAAAGCAGTGGCCTATAAAGAATTTTGGGAAATAACATTTGATGTCATTTCTCTCTCAATCTGAAGTCATGCTATCAATGTGCATCAGATGGAAAAATAATCTTATAAGTAGGTGAGAATTACTCTGAGTGAGACCCTGTCTCTACCAAAAATTAGGTAGGTGTGGTGGCATGTGCCTGTAGTCCCAGCTACTTGGGAGGCTGATGTAGGACTATCATTTGAGCCCAGGAGTTTCAGGTTGCTGTGATGTGATGCCACTGTACTCTACCCAGGAAGACAGAGTAAGACCCTGTCTCAGGAAAAAAAAAGTGACAATTATAATCTTAAAAATACAGATGCTGATTTCTAATCCTTCCCACAAAATTCCAGATCACATATTGAGGGACGATATGATCTTTCTTATATAGAAGGCACTAAGTGGGTCATATGAGACAGCAGCAAGTCAAAGCCAACATCCAGGAAAAGGAGAAATGCACATGGGTCCCAGGTGTCTTTTCTCAGAGACAATGGGTCTCCTTACTGGACAGTTGGCAGGAGACAGTTCAAATGTAATTAACAAAACTGCTGGTGGGCAACCGAAGGAAAGAGATGGAAAGACCTCTTAGAATTGGCATGGAAAACAAGCCAAACACTACTAGCAGCAGGCCCAGCTGGAGGAGGGCTTGGTTTGTAGATTGATGTAGTCCCCATGAGTGGACAAAGACATGATATCTTCTCTGGTATTGCTCATCATCTTTTCAATGAGGACTCTAAAAAAGAAATAAAATTAAGCCTGAGAAACTAGATGGAGGAAAAGGAGAAATGGCAGACATAAGGTAATCACCAGGCAGCATTCCATAGAGCCACAAGGTTTAAATGACCCTTTGGTGCTCAGTTAATCTCAGGAGAGAAGACAGTATCCCTGACTTTTAGGAGCTGGGATTCCAGTGGCTCAGTCTTTTCTTGTTTGTTCAGAAACAAGAAAAGAAGATCCATGGGGCTTCAGTGGAAGATGAATAAATCTGCATGCCTATCCCAGAATACATGAGATACTCACCTCATGGCCTCATTAATATTTTTGTTCTCCTTGACTGATGTTTCTGTCCAACCTGTGAAACCATTCTCTTTACTGAATCGGTCAATCTGGTCCCGGCTCACTGCCCAAGGTGACAGATCACACTGACAAACAGAATAAACAAAAGGCAACACTATAAATTTCCTGGTAATAGAAATATGACTTAGACCCCTGTGTATTTAAAACATTTTTCTACCAATGGCTAAGAACACCAGCAACTAAAATCTATAGTCACCATTCTTTCCAAAGAAAGTCTCACCCTCAACATCCTTTGAAAGGAGGTAGAGATGACTCTGCTAACCTGAAAAGACGAAACAGATGCACCAAACCAGAGAGCATTTTAGATATGCTTACTCTCTGACCATAGATAGAGGCTAGAGACCATTTCTTCAGGTTTGCTACATACCTTATTGGCCAGGAGCAGGCAGGGTACAGGCTCTCCATTGGGCAATGTGAGCTTGCTGTCCAGGTCCTGTTTCCATCTCTGGCTGTTGCTGAAGGTAGTGGCATTGGTAACGTCAAACATAATAACACAGGCAGAAGCATCTTTATAATATAGTCGTGTCATAGAGGTGAAGCGTTCCTGCCCTGAGGAGAAAGAGGAGAGTTCCTGGGAAGGAGATCCTAAGAATCCATGTCAGCACCCTCTCTGAAACCTTTTCTCTCTCCTTTCATTGTGGAAGAAGGCAGTAAGCACATGTAGCAGAGGAAGCCGCTCACTTTCCCCCTCTGAATCTTGGTTTTCTATCTATCCAATAAAGGGATAATTAAGACTGATCATCTCCAACGTAGATTCTGCACCTGGATTGCTTAAGTCTAGATCTCTGTTCTGCCACTTAACTATCTATGTGACTTGGGACAAATCAAGCTGTCAGGGCTTCCTATTTCTTATTTGTAAAGTGAAGATAAAAGCAGTGGTTTTATGATAAAGTTGTGAGGATTAATGAATCAGTGAATTTAAAATGCTTAGAAGAGCACTTGGCACATAATAAAGGTTTCCTATTGTTATTATTGTTGTTCTTTTATTCAGAGTCTCACTTTGTGGCTCTCAGTAGAGTGCCGTGGTCATAGCCCACAGCAACTTCTAACTCTTGGGCTTAAGTGATTCTCTTGCCTCAGCCTCCCAAATAGCTGGGACTACAGGCACCTGCCACAACACCTGGCTTTTAAAATTTTTTTTTGTAGAAACAGGGTCTCACTCTGGCTCAGGCTGGTCTTGAACCTCTGAGCTCAGGGCAATCCACCCACCTCAGCCTTCCAGAGTGCTAGGATTACAGCTGTGAGCCACCACACCCAGCCAAGGTTTCCTATTATTATTGTTTCTATTTCCTGGGGGTCATGTTTCTCACCAAGGTCAGCTTTAAACACAGAAAAAGCATCCTTCCATTGCTGTGGAGCACCCACCTATGGTCTGGATAATCTCCCACCTGGTCAGCCCCTCCAGCCACACAGACTGCTCCAGATCTCTCAGGGGAAAACATCTATAAAAGCTCTATTCAGCTCATGTATCCTCAGAACGGCCCAATTATTCCAGCTTCAGAAAAAATAATTTCTGGTTTTCTGCCCTACTTTTTCTCTGAGAGTTTTCTGGTCCAACTAAAATTTCTTCCCTTGTTCCTATCCAGCCTTCCCAGCTTACCTGCAATATCCCACAGCTGGAGTCGCACCATCTCTGAGTCAGACCACTGGAGAACCTTCAGAGCAAAGTCCACTGAAAATACATATTATACTTTAATAAAATTTCCCTTTATGAAAAATCCAGGGATAAGCTCAGATCAAATATGAAGTTACAGCCCTAGGGACATACAATTCCAATCCCATTTATTTATTTTCAATTCCTCAATTGGCTGAGATGAGTACACAGTCATCTATTAGGTGTGGGACAGATAATTCATACTTGTGCTCCAAAGGAGTCTCTAGCTTTCACTCTCCTGTTAAGCAAATTTATTTGTGACTATTTTCCTCCAAGGCTGGGGGAATGAAGGTGAGAATAATTTTGAAAACAACCCCTATTCTCAGGTTAAACAATTTCTGGGAGATTTAGGGGGTTTTCTCAGGGAAGGGGTGATGGGGGGGGAACGGGGGAAATGAGATAAATGTGGTCAGTTTTGTATCTTCCACATTCAATTTCACTGTTGGTTTCTAATCAAATTGTATTATGAGAAAAACACATCCTGGTGACTTCTACATGATCCATAAGGCTGCAGAAATCAAGTTGGGCAAGAATAGGATAAACGGAAAGGTCCCAGAGGATTCCCAGGAAGAAGACACTGCTTTCATGATTCCTAAGAGTTGCAAGGGATGTAATCTACCAAGTCTGTAAATGCTGAGATCCCAAAGTTAAGGCTGAAATAGTATTCCAGGGGGAAAGCTTTTTAATAAGGAGAGAAAGAGAATAATTCCTGAGGTTTGGAAATAGATCCTTACACATCTGCAAAAGAAATAAAAACTATGGGAAATAGAGAAGAAACACAGAAAAAAAAATCACCAGAGTTAATTATATTCCTTACTAAAGGAAAACTAGAGCAATTGCTAAAAATTAACTAGCAGAACACTTTTAACCCAAAACCATGAACTAGGAGTGGGGGGCAGAGTGGTGAGGAAAAGTCTTTGAAATTTTAAACTCCTTATTTTGCCAAATGTTGTTAAGGAAGGTGTTTTAATGGCAATGTAAATGCTTTTTAATTTTTTTTAAACTTCTATACGAACACCAGCATACATTTTCAAGTTTTCTATTAGTATACAAGATTCCCGCCCCCCAAAGCAAGTTCTTTTAATAGAGATAAAGTTTAAGTTACACCTATCACCAGCTCTTCCTAATTAAATACTGTCTACTTAACAAAAACAAATTTCTACCTCTGAAAAAAAAAGGTGAGTCCAAAGGCCCTACCTGGGAAAGAAATGAACTCTTGGTGTTCCCTTCCTCCTTCCCTTTCTCAGTTTGAAGGGAAAGGGGGTGAGAAGATTCTTCCAAGAATTCCTAGGTTCCCTTTATTTAAGGTATCAATGAACAAAAGTCACAGCTCATAAGCTCTAATGAGCATCTGATTGCATAGCCAAGGGGATCCTTTGGGGGATTCTGTGTCCTCCCTACCCATCTACATCACCATAACAAAACTAGAGTTCTTGAGACCAGTTCCTAAACTCTTCCCTTGAGCCAGGTTAAACACCTTTCGGTTCCTTTTCTATATAGCTGGTCTGTAACTCCTGGAAGAGGTCTGACAGCAGCCTCCACCGGGGTTTCTAACCAGGCCCCAGTCTCCGCTGCTTTTGTTGATTGGATAGATTCGCCACTCACAGCTTGAAAGGCTGCAGACTTGAGTTCAGAGCGCGCCGCTGATAAACAGCAATTGTTGATTCTTATCCTTCCTTCCCTATTTCTCACCTTCACACCATCGCCCTATCTCTTATCAGGTAGTTTGCTCTGGCTGGGAAAACCTAACAGGGAGACTCAAGAGAGGTGTACAGATCAAACACCCAGCACCTACTCCCTCTTCTAGGATCCCAGACTCCTACTTCCTGACTCGAGGAAGGACCCAAAGGACCCAAATTCCTCCTCCCCCCCGCCCCCACCCGGGTCTACAACTCGAGTCTGCGTCGGAGTCCCAGTCTACCCCCAACCCCCCGCGACATCTCACCTCCCACCGTGGACTTGTAGTGTTTGCTGAAGCTGTCCTGGGAATATCGCTGCACCAGCGACGTCTTGCCCACTGCGGCGTCCCCCACCACCAGCACCTTGAACAGGTGGTCGCGGCTGCTCATGACTAACGGGGTGTATACTTTTGAGGAGGAAAGAAGTGGGGGAAAGTCGCTTGTTTAACCCGTTTGTCTCCGAACCCTCTTCACACTGAAGTTGGGCATTCTCACCCACCGCCTTTGGGTGCTGCTTTGACCAGAAAGCAAAAAAGGAAACTTTGCGCTCAACCTATACGCGCTTCCTCCCCGCGCGGCCACAGCCTGGGTGGGGCGCAGGGCGCGAGCTCAGAACCCCCGGCTGTTCGCACCTTCTCACCCTCCACCCCCTGATCGGCCCGGCTGCCGAGAAACGAGACCAGGCACACTCCCACACCCACGGGGGCTTCCCCCGAGCGGCTCCAGTCAGCGACTGACCCGGGCCAGCTCACTACACGGCTGTGGCTAGAGATACTGCACAAACCAAACTGTAGGGAAGGAGCAGCCCACACCTCGATTCCCTGGACCCGTCCCGCCCCCTACGGCGTGGTCCCTCTCGCCTTCCTCCTCAAGCGTCACGTGCAGGTTTGCTTGGAGCACTACATTTCCCAGCTTACCTCGCGGTAAAGAGACGCTACCGAGTGCGGAGACTCCCCGCGTGGCCTTTTGGGAAGTGTAGTTCTTCACTATTCGTGTTTTAAAATAATTATAGGTCAGTAAATATTTAAGAGATATGTTCAATATGCTCTCATCTGCCTGAATCCTTTCCCAGATAGTTTTCTCCTATCTTTAATCTTTGGAGTTAATGTTAAAAATCATTCCATCCATCGTGCTCCAAGTGAAGTCCATTTTTTATTCCTTCAAAGAGAAAAAGTCCAGAACCTTGTGAACATGATTCATATTTTCAGTATGACCCAATACCAGGAAAATTCAGGGAATCTTGACCCACGAGACTAATCCTTAGGAAAAACAAAACTATGCCAAAAGTTACAGCATTTAATAACTGGCAATAGCAATAAAGATAGGAAACAAGAGACAGTTCCTCATTCACACTTCCACAATTCCCATTTCTAGCCCCCCTATTCGTATATCATTTGTGCTGGAGGCGAATGTGCCATATGCTTGGCTGCTGTTGCTCAAGAATAGTCGTAGAACTACAGTCTGCAAATAATTTTAATTTTCCAGGCTGTAACTTTTCTGACCTCCCTGTCCTTAGGCAGGATTTGGCAAGGCATGAGCTAAACGGCAAGCAAAGAGAGCTCCATTTGCTATGCTTTTTCCGGGAATAGAAGAGGAGCAGCAGGGCTGTGGGAAAACATGTTCTGTGAGGAAAGAACATCAGCATGATTCAAAAACACGTTTAACCCAAAGGTTTGCTACCCAGGTGTAGGAAGCTAGGCTAGGTTTCTCATCTTTAAGGCCCAACTTAAATATCGACTCACTTATAAACATCTCCTTTACTGAAGCCTTTATTGATCACCTGTAGCATTGACATTCTTTTTGAATTTCTTTTGTGTTTCACTATGTTGTCCAGGCTGGCCTCAAACTCAGTTTATAATTCTTTAACTTATAAGCAAACAGCATGTCTCAAAATAAACAGGGAAGATTTTTCCTTCTAAATTTTGACTTTGGCCCTGGTCGTCTGTGAGAGGAACTACTTTCCCAAATTAGCAAGGTGGGAAGTGAAGATTCAAGATGGAGGCTTGGCGCCCGTAGCTCAGCGGTTAGGGCGTCAGCTACATGCACTGAGGGTGGAAGGTTCCAACCCGGCCCCGGCCTGCTAAACAGCAATGACAACAACAACAAAAGAAAAAATAGGCAGGCATTGCATTGTGGCGGGCGCCTGTAGTCCCAGCTACTTGGGAAGCTGAGGCAAGAGAAGCCCTTAAGATCAAGAGTTTGAGGTTGCTCTGAGCTGTGAGCTGTGACAACTGGGCACTCTACCGAGAGTGACATAATGAGACTCTGTCTCAAAAAAAAAAAAAAAAAAGATTTAAAATGGAAGATTAACAAGTTTTTGGTACTCTGTCACAGAGTTTCTATCTAAGGAGTAATCATTTCTGGGCAGTGCCTCTGGCTCAGTGGGTAGGGCGCCGGCCCCATATACTGAGGGTGGCGGGTTCGACCCTAACTCGGCCAAACTGCAACAAAAAAAATAGCGGGGCGTTGTGGCGGGCACCTGTAGTCTCAGCTACTTGGGAGGCTGAGGGAAGAGAATCTCCTAAGCCCAGGAGTTGGGGGTTGCTGTGAGCTGTAACACCTGGGCACTCTACCGAGAGTGACATAGTGAGACTCTGTCTCAAAAAAAAAAAAAAGATTTAAGATGGAAGATTAACAAGTTTTTGGTACTCTGTCACAGAGTTTCTATCAAAGGAGTAATCATTTCTGGGCAGTGCCTCTGGCTCAGTGGGTAGGGCGCCGGCCTCATATACTGAGGGTGGCGGGTTCGAACCTAACTCAGCCAAACTGCAACAAAAAAAATATCGGGGCGTTGTGGC